ATTTAGTACACTTCTTTTTAAGCAATACAATTTACTTGGGTGTTTGATACCACTTTGGTCATTGGTGTGACGAACTCAGAAAAGATATTTAACTTTGCACAGTCTTTAACTTTTTGAACCTATACACTTTTCAAAAGAACTGGCCATATTCCATGAGTGATGTAAGGTTACTGCAATGACTTTTCTTACTCCCTATGCCCTCTTCAATGCCCATCACGAGATCCCTTGAGTACCTTCACCAGGTGCTAGAGAACCTGGGCAATTAGTGTCACTTGAGATCTTTATTAAAAGAAAAGAAATATACATGAAATGGTCCAACTCTGTCCATGTGACTGTTAATGATGTCAAGACTCTAATGAGAGCCCATGGGGCAGAACACTGCAAGCTTTATTTTTCGAAGGTTATAAATACAGAATAATTAAGTTGGAAGTGGTCAACAGGTCATTATCTCCATCATCCCCCAAGAGCAATTAAACACACTTGACAACCCTGGAGGCCCATCCTGGGCAACCAAGCCAAAACAAAGATGTTTTTCAGTTTTGCAAATGGTCAAGAGAATGAAAACTAAACTTAGACTAGAGCAACATGCAACACTGACGGGCCCTTGCAACTTTGCAACACAATTCAGAATCTTTATTATCATTGGATTCAAGGAGCAGCCTCTTATGTCATGGGCATGGATCATACACAGACAATTCACCAAAATAGTAATGTCCATTCAGTTGTCCACTAGTGACAAATAAATGGGTAAAAAGAGACAAAGATAATGTTGAGCAAAAATGAATAAACAATCCCAAATCTCTGGTAGTTCTGACTGATATGAATTGTGTTTACACAGATATGAACTTGTGCCAGAAATGCAATGATTAAGAAAAATTACTTATGTAAGGGTACATAAACCTCGTATAAAACAGGCCTTAAGGCTCCACCATTAGTTTTCCTTCTCCCCTGTTGTCTCTTTCTTCCCCCTCCTCTCATATACACACACACATGCACATCTCCATAGTTGTGAGGACAATTACTGACATAATCTATTCCCTAGCACTTAACCTAAGTCAACCATCACAACTAAATGCCTAACCCTAACACTTACCCTTACCTAATCTTAATCCTAACCCTTGTAGATATGGTCAACCTGATGTGACTAAGATATGTATGGATATGTATCACACATGTGAAGTTTGGTAAAGATCTCACCATGTACACGTCATTTATGAAGTACACCCTGTTGGCACGAACCTGTCATTAAAAACCTTATCAAGTGTAGAGTGTATATAAGTGTTAACAGTTTATGGTTTAGTCTGCGATTTCTGGAGGTCACTCAAATGGTGACCCCACACGTTTGTAGAGACTGTTAGGATAGTATTTGTAGTGCTTTGTTTCTGTTGCACTTTTATGCCATGCAGGCAAGGGTGATGGGTAAATCTCTATTTTTAAAATCATGGTTGTTTGCTGGACTTGCAAGCTTTAAAATCTGATCAACCATTTAAGTCAGTTCAAAAGTTCAAAAGTTAATTTAAGACAAGACAATCGCCTGTAAACTGAAATCCTTGCAAATAAAAGAAATCAAACTGTGCCATAAAAATGCAGCAATGGTTTGCTATATAAGCAAGAGACTGTGATGTCATGAAATGAAATATGTCCATTGTGCATATGCTAAAAATTTTGTATTTGTTGATGGTGGTGGTTGGTTTTAGTCAGTCAGACTAAAGTCACATGCCTGTTATCTTGTTGCCACTAGAATATGATTCATCCTTTTGTAAGTATGCAGCTGTTAAATACCCTCTGCAAGAATTATTTGGCCATGATGGGGTAAGAAAGAGGCCCTGTCCCTGTGACTCACTGTCAACATGAGTTTGCTAATTTCAAATGCAGCTCTCAACTAGTATAATATCTTTTCTAAACAGCTCTTCCTTCAAGGCTGTAAATGTTTGTTTTCTCCACTGTTTGACACTGCAGCTTGATTTACTCAGTAACTTAACTGTGTTGAACATAGTGATTATTTTCCAGCATGTTAGGTATTAAAAAGACTCAACTACCTTGCAGGAATTGGGTGAAACGTTGGCAGGAGTGCAGTGTCTGTGAGTGTCCTGGAAACGTAATTGAATGGGAACATAACAAAGGCAGACAAGAGGCTGAAATAAAAAAATAAGGAGAAGCTTTACTAAACAACAAGGACTTCTGGAACAAAGGTCAAAGAAGGCACAACTGACAAGACTAAAAGAAACCCCACCATGACACACCAGTTCTTTGAGGGGAAGGAGCACGCGTCCATCTACCAGAAGTATCGCTTTGCGCTTCCAGATGAGGTCAAAAATATTATTCTTCGATACTTAAATAAAAAGGTATGCCACAGAAAATACGATGAAGATTCAATACACTCTCTTAGCAAAGTGCATAACGAGCTCTGTAAAAAATTATTCTGCTTATTTGTTGTAAAAACTGAGAGTTGGAGAAACTGAAATATGCTTCACACTGACAAATACTACATATCTGTTGACATCCTCAGAAGGGACAGCCACATGTGCTGGCAGTAGATCTGGGATGTGGAACAGGTCAGACCACTCGAATATTGGCACAGCACTTTAAAGAAGTCGTGGGTATTGACATCAGTGAGTGTCAGCTTGAGGAGGCCAGAGCTGTGCCAGGGTTCTCCAACATCGAGTACAGGTAAGACATCTTGAGGGGCTGCTCAATATCCTGCAGGCAACCAGAATGGTGTAAAAATATTGTTTGTTGATTTGTACAAATATTCGATGTGGCTTCTGATTGTTATCTGGAGTTTATTGCTCCTCTCATAAGAGAAATTAACTTTTCTGGGATCCACTTCTATCACTAGACAGTAATGATTTGGTAACAGTGAAAAGGCTCTAGTGGGTGGCTGCTGAATGCCAAACCTGGACAGGGGGCCTCTGTATTCAATTTCAGATACCTTGATCACCATATTCATGGTGAAGAGAATAATTGAGGTTCCTCTCAATTTTCATTTTCTTTTTAAACTGGCACTAATCTGTGGTTGCCGTGGAAGTTTAGGATAAGGTTCTTGATCATACCGGATACATTGTGTCAGTCCTTAGTAGTCTCAGCCAATGTGTTGGGTGTTGAGCAAAATGATTGAACGGGGTCAAGTCAATACACAGCTAGGCCCCCCTTCCCTTTGTGCACCTCTCTGATCAGCTGGGTACTACACACCTTTTCTGAGGTGTCAATGAAGGTATTCTCATGGGTGAAGCATGCAATGCTTCTGGATAATCACTGAAGGAGATCTTTCCCTCTATACTTAGAAGCAAGATGGATATAGGACATAAATGCTTGGTTGAGTTCTGTTTCTAAGGTACCCAGATACCTACCTGAAATGGTTTATTCTTGTGCAAAATCACTGAAATGAAAGTCAGCGTTGCTGTTCTGTCTGTTGCACCTGCAGGAAAGGGAGCGCAGAGGAGCTTCCTTTTTCTGACAGCTCTGTCGACTTGGTGACAGCATCAGCAGCTGCCCACTGGTTTGATCACACGAAGTTCCTTGCTGAGGCAGGTCGGGTTCTGAAACCCCGGGGCTGCATTGCTCTGCTGGGTTACACTCTCAAGAACAACAGACTTTCCTACCAAAACTGTGGCGAACAACTTAACAGCCTCTATGAAGAGGTGGGTAGTATGGACCCTTCACAAAGTCATTATTTTAGTCAAATGTGAAAATAAGGATAGAACCACAACTTCCGAAGTTATTCAGTGAAGTGAAGATAATGGTACTATTCCTGTCACTACCATCATAAATAAACAACAGCATACATACTGATTTATCAAACTTCAGTTTTTACTATTTTATCTTTTTATTTGTGTTGTTTTGTTAGCTTGTTTCAAAGTTAGTCTATATTACTTATACTTTATATTATATTCACATACATACAGACACAATAAAAAGTCAGTGCATGCAGCAAAGCATTAACATTTTTTAATCTATATTCACTTCCAGGTGATTCAGCTGCTGATACCATACACCAGCAACCCAGTAGTTCAGTGTGACAGTAAACTGGAGGAGTTATACTCTGCAATCCCTTTTCCAGACAAAGAACGGTAATTACAACACAGACACTTAACTTACCAATGCTAAGTACACCTCTGTAATACCTAGAAATAACACCACTTCTGCTGACCTTTAAAAAGACAAATTAAGCAAAAAAATTTCTTCGAGCTTATAAAATACTGAAAACAAATAAATATGCCGGAGCAGAAGTAATCTTGTAAACTGTGGTGTTCCAACTAGCCTTTAACCTGTTTGACCTCTAACCTCCAGTAGATATACAGTTAAAATTGTTATTTTGATTGTCACCTCTGCCAAGGAGGTTTTGTTTTTGTGTGCGTTTTTTTGTTTGTTATTTAGCAGGATTACACAAAAACTGCTCAACCAACTTCCATAAAATATCGTGGAGGTGTGGAGCATGTCCCAACTGAGTTCCATTCTATTTCTTTATATTGAATAACACATTATTCTCCTATGTTGATACAACAGGATTGAATGCATTCAAGTGAAATCTTTCATCACATTGAAAAACCTGGTGGGATTTATTGAGACCTTGTCCATGTTCCAAACTTACAAGAAGGACGACCCTCAGGCTGCCAACAACCTGCTGCTTAACACTCAGAAGAGGTAACACACACACAGCATTGTTTCAGTTATCCATTTTGGGAATATTTTGAATAGTTTACTGAATGATTTCCTGTGGTGCTCTACAAAGTTGTGAGTTATATAATCAGACTCTGTTTCCCACTACTTCACAGGTTTCTGGATGAAATGGGAGTCACATCTCCGGACACTGAACTAAAGTGGACAATGGAGTATTTCTGTGTTCTGGCATCTAAACCACAATAATAAGCGCCATAGAAAAAACTGATTCTGGGATGTTAAAGTCTTTGATACATTAAAGAGTGAGCTTATTGAACTTGGACATTCCTGTGCTTTTTTTACTTTGAGCAACGTGACAATATCTGTAGTGTAATTATGAGATCGTACAATATTACCATTAAAAATACCTTCTGAAAAAGCCAATGTTACAAAGTCAGTCGGTTAATGAAATCAAACTAAATGTGTTACCTCAGTTGTTTAATGCTACAGCATTCATAGTATAGTCTTTCCTGCTTAATTACCTGTAGTACTTAAACACCTCCTCGGAGTGTGAAATAAAGTACTCTAAGATTCAATCAGACTTTGAATTTGACATTAGAATTGTCATTGTCAATAATTTCAAAGCAGTAACAACCCCACCCCTGCTACACGCACACACACACACACACACACACA